AGATATTACCAAATGTCCCCAGGAAGTAAGGGGGAAACAAAATTGTCCCCAGCTAAGAATTGCTGCTTTGAAGGATAAGATGTCATATAAGTATATTTTTACAATGCAATTTTTAAAAAGTATTACCTGCTAATCAGGTGGATCAACTCAGAGAATTTGAAGTATTTATTAAAGGCTGCTGCCTCTATTTGACTTTATAGCATATAGAAAGGAATTATGACTTTGTTTACTTTTGGGGGGAGTAGATGACCCTGGGGTTTGAACTCAGGGCCTTGCACTTACTAGGCAAGCACTCTTACTGCTGAGCCATGCCACTAGCCCAGGAATGATGAGTTGGCAAAATAATACATACAATATATGTAATGAATACACATTTATGACATGTAGAATTCAATGTGGATAATGTTTGCCTAACCCTAGAGAACATTAAACAAACTTACGATCTTTTATGTCAATTTTAAGATTTCTATGTGTATTTTAGAAAGATACTTTTGATCTTGGATTCTGAAATGGTCAAAGATAACCAGTTGGTGGGAAAAATCATGGTGTTCCAGTAGAGAAAGATGAATTACTTACTCTTTCAGTCACTCAATTACTGCTAATACTGTGTTCATAGCGACAAGTTGGTGACATTGTTAAGCATTAATCCTTCAGACAAGAACCCATTGATACACAGCTTTAAGCAAGCAATGCTATAGTGTGGTTAGTCGTGCACATTTAGGCTTGCGCTATAGAAGCAGGAGAGGGGAAAAAAAGTAAATTTAAGACCTTAGTCTATATTACAAGGGTTATAATGTGTAATATACTTTCATCCAAAAGTCTTGGATCCACTACAAACTAGATGTCAAAACAGAGTTATATAATCAGAGTTATAAAAACTATAACTGATTAAACACCACTTTAAAATAACACATTTCCTACATTTAAACTTATAAAATTTCCTGCATTTAACAACATAAGCAATTTTGCATCCTTTTAACATGTCATTCAAAAAACTGGTGAATAATAACAAAATAACTACAAAAATATCCTAATCTCTTAAAATTAGATCAATATTTTCATTGTAAAAAAATTTGGCCCATTAATTTCACAGTGCCAGGACATACACAGAACATTTCTCCAGTCATGTTTCTTCTCAGGAGGAAGTGTGCAATAAAGAGGCCTCTCTGGCCTTTGTTACAAAGGGAGGAATGTATGCTGTCTTGGGAGTTTATTAGAATAGGAAGTACTTTAAAATAGGATAATGAATTCATTCCATAATCTGAAGATCTGGACCACCAAATACATAAAGAAGTATGCACCTGTACATGGAGAATATCATCTGAAAACTGGAATATTACACTAATTTATAAATACTTGCGAATGTGAAATTTTAATAGTTATTTCAAAGACTATAAAATACCTCTTAAAGTCTTCTAGATTATGCTGCTATAAGCAAAATATTTAAAAATTATTTTTAAGTAAAAATTTAAAATTAGAGGTATAAAAATAACCACTTCTCACCATCAACACTGGGCTTTTGGCATGGGAAAGGGAAACCAGGATCTCTTCCAAAAGTCCAAATGGACACACAAAAGACTGGGGCCTCGCCTTCCCATCTGTGACTCTCGGATATTGTATCTTTATTATCCAGGATTCCACATACATTCAATTATGACACTCTTGATATTGTATCTTTATTATCCAGGATTCCACATACATTCAATTATGACACTCTTAAAATCTTTGACTATTCAAAATTGTGTGGGAAAAACTACATCATTATTTTTAAGGCACTTGATTTCGGAAAAGTCAGAGAAACAGTAAGATTACATTAACTTCTGAGCACAGGAGTCCCGCGTAAATGTGCGCTACAGTTCTGCAGGGGTGTCATCAGGGTGCCCGTGGCCCTGTACAATTCTAGAGAGGAAAATCAGCAGCTGTGCAGAGCCAAGGGCAAGATCCCCACAGGAAGAGAAGCGCCGCACTAGACTGGAAAACTGCAGCCTGAACGTTAACTCAGGTGGAGCGTGGGCACTCTCACTAAATCCCGCACATAACAGTTAGACACAGGATTTGCGTTGGGCACCAGCACCTTCTCTGTGGTTTCTTCTCCATTCCGCCCCCTGCGCCCCATAAAGTAAAACTCTGATGGGGGGATCGGGGACGGGGGTCAGGAGAGCAGAACAGATGTCCCCGGATTCTCACTGACAACTGACCCGTTGCCCAGGTCTTCCTTGTCTCAATCTACTAGCGGCAAAGGAGGACGCAAAGCCGCCCAGACAAGTCGGAGGGCAACGCTGTTGCAGGACTTTCTCGAGTACTGGGGGGGCAAAAAAAGAGGTGGGGTAAGCAGTAAAGGGTTGCCTAGAGGGTTGGCACCGAATCCCCAATTTTTTTTCCTATCTTTCCCTACAATTAAAATAAACCCGAAGGTGCAGCATTCTCCAGGCAAACCCAGATTAAGTGAGCTTTAAGGGTGAGGAAAGGGACACTGCCATTTCTCACAATGGGGTTATTTCTAAGGAACCCCACTTTCGTATTTCCAAGGGATGAGGGCTCAGCCTACTTATTTCTTTCTGTTTGTCTCCGCGTGAAGCTGATGAGAAAATAAGTGATTCCAAGGTGCCCTAGGGCAGTTTATTTCCTTCGAGCTAATAAAATTAAACCAAGTGTCTTGCGATGGCGAAGATAAGGTCTCCTGTTCCTAGACCCCAACCTTCAGGCACTTTAGGCCCCTCCCGCAGGTAATCAGACACTGGCTACACGCACCCCGCACCCTTTTCTTGTAGCTTTGACGTGGCCACCCAGACTTTAGGTCCCAGTGGCCCGCCAGCCTCAAACACGCAAAAGGCAAAGCTCCCTCTTCATCTAATATTTCTAGAACTATTGTTTAAGAGTAGGGCAGTAGAATGAATATTCCCATGTCCAGAGTGGGGCTCCTAGACTCGGAAAATTAAAAGGTTAAAGGCAAAAAAAAAAAAAAAAAGTCATTTCTTCCCAATCCTCGGCTTTCAAGCCATACAAGTGTCGCAAAAAGGCATCTCCAGCGGCATTGGGATTCTCTAGGCTCGTGGGCTGTAAGGTCCCAGCGGAACCATGGCCTCTTCTTCCCCCAAGGGCAGGGCCACCCCAGTCCCGGCTCCATCCCAGCGCTGCCCGCAAGGCCTGGGGGCTTCTCACTAAAACTTATCCTTCCGGCTGATTCGGAGCTGCAAACTACAGAAGGTTTATGCTTTGTCATTATTCTCATCACCCTCTTTATTTTGCCCCTGCCCTGTCTGTCTCAAGAAAATGAGTTCTTAGAAAAGAAAGCGTCTCGGTTGAGGTGGCTGGTGATTTCACAGAAATGATGTAAATGGTTGCAGGGCTTTTTCCTTCCCCTCTGCTATTTTTTTTTTTTCCGAGTGAACTGTGAAGATCTGTGAAAATAATATCAGAGTTTTCCGTCAGAACGAGCTTTGCCCCGCACTCAGGCGTAGCGTGATCTGACCCGACACGTCCAACCATCTGTGCTATCTATCTGTCTTCTGATTCACCAGATCTGTACAAGCCGCATACAAATTGTGCTTGATACTAAAGAAAAGACAGCCAGTCCCAGTTCAGTTAGGTGGTGAACTTTCCCATCTAATTCCTTGGTAAGATTGACCCTCCCAAAGACTTTCCTGGCATTTTTGTCCCTTAGCACCCCCTCTACGGAGTATTTTCTTCAAACTAAACAACCCCCTATCAAAGGCCCAGATGAGATCGTGGTTTCGTCGACAGGGGCCTCAGAAAACGGTATGATGTGGCTGTCAATTGGGAATCAATAAAAGTTGCCAATTCAATCTACTGGCCAGAAGGCTGAGCCGCCAAGAAAGCCCTTCCTCTCTGCAGGAGGGGTCAGTGCCCAGAGGAAGCAGCCCTCCCCCACCCAACACACTTTGTTGTGGACTCCCCTTCTCTATTTGAATTATTTGAGGCTAAAAGGCCAAGACTTCACTCTCCAACTCAAGAGTTGTATGTTCTAACACTGAGCCAGGAGCAAAACTAGCTTGCCAGAAGAGGAGCAAATCGATATTTTAAAAAGATCTCTGAAATAAGCTTTTAAGTTGCTGTCCTGACCTACCAATGACTTCTCACTCTAGATGTGGCTATGCTGCACATTTGTTCAAGGTCATTAAACTGGAAAGGGGGACTAAAAGTATAATATGTATTTGGGTGGGAGACCTCCCACAGCCCACCTTTCTAGGAGTGTTTGACTTAGGGGTCAGCATCTATGTCACCAAGCGAGAGCGTGTCCTTGCTCGGGTTTAAAATTATTTTAGGAGGCTTTTGAAGGGAGTAGAGAAGTCGGAACTGACCTCGTCTACAGATCCCTGGTCCTGTTCCTTCTGCTCCAGATTTGTTTCTCAGCTGCTTTAGCAGGAAGGCTAGAGGGAGGCTTGCCGGGATGGGTGTTTGGGTGATAAGAAAAGATTCAGTTCCCTTTTCCCTCCTCTCTGTGCATGTATTCCCCGCGGGGTTTACTGTTTCGTTACAACTAAACTTGCGAATTCTTAGAGGATTCCGATTTTGTCCCGTCCTCTTTGTCCTCTGGAGACCTTTCGACCGAGGCATTGCATCGGCCCAAAATGAATTCTTGTAGCATCCCTGCCTCTCTGGTGGGAAAACAAGAAGGAGGGGCTGGGCAGAGGGAGAGGGGGGAGAGTGAAACGCTGCAGTTCTCCCAGCCACTCGAACGTCTTTTCATCCTCCAGGTTCTGTAAAATACAGAGGGAAAGTCCATCTGCAAACGGCGGGCGCTGTCGAGTACTGGGAGGTGCTGAAATGGCCGGGGCGCGCAGGTCGCAGCCTTGATTGGCAGAGCCGGCCAGTGACTGACAGGGGGTCTCCATGGCGCCCGCGCCGCCAATCCGCCCACCCCAGTAGCGGCGCCCTCTAGCCTCCCTGCGTGCGGGAGCAGAGCCGAGCCGAGCCCGAGCCTCGCAGCCCGCACCTCCTCCATTTGGGGACGCTCGCTCCGGGCAGTGTAACCCCAGGCCACCTCACCCAGGAGAGGCTGGCGCACCCCGCCGGGCCCGCGGGCATCTGTTGCGTGTACCGCTCCGGGCTCAGTGTCCCCGCTGCTGCCGGCGCTGCCTCGATGTTCCAGCTGCCAATCTTGAATTTCAGCCCCCAGCAAGTGGCCGGGGTATGCGAGACTCTGGAAGAGAGCGGCGATGTGGAACGCTTGGGTCGCTTTCTCTGGTCGCTGCCCGTGGCCCCTGCGGCCTGCGAAGCCCTCAACAAGAATGAGTCGGTGCTGCGCGCGCGAGCCATCGTGGCCTTTCACGGTGGCAATTACCGCGAGCTCTACCATATCCTAGAAAACCACAAGTTTACCAAGGAGTCTCACGCCAAGCTGCAGGCACTGTGGCTTGAAGCACACTACCAGGAGGCTGAGAAGCTGCGAGGACGGCCCCTGGGGCCGGTGGACAAGTACCGCGTAAGGAAGAAGTTCCCGCTGCCGAGAACCATTTGGGACGGCGAGCAGAAGACGCACTGCTTCAAGGAGCGCACTCGGCACCTGCTGCGGGAGTGGTACCTGCAGGACCCATACCCCAACCCCAGCAAAAAGCGGGAGCTCGCCCAGGCAACCGGACTCACCCCCACGCAGGTGGGCAACTGGTTCAAAAACCGCCGACAAAGGGACCGGGCAGCTGCAGCTAAGAACAGGTCGGTACCTAGAGGCCTGTGCGCTTTGTGCACACCGGGCACCGGGCGGGTGGAGGCATTCCTGGCGCCCTTACCTGGCGCCTAGAGACTCCGATTCAGCGGGAGTTGGGAGCGCTGTCTCTCTTCAGTTTGTGAACCCGTTGAGTTCTGGGCTGCTGTGCGAGGGTTCCCTTCCCGGCTCCTCGGTTCCCCACACTCTCTCTAGTTCACGGGGCTGAAGAGTCAGGGTAACAGCTGGTCCTAGTCATCAAACCAAGCTTCACTGGGGCAGCAGAGAAATAAAGATTAAGACCCCAAGGCCTGAAGCGAATTCTCGTTAGCCTGGGCCCAGGCACCTACTATTAAGCGAATCTTGCTCATTAGCGGTGTGTTGGCTTCGCGATAGTTATTATCTTTAAAGTCCAGGTGCATCTTTCTCTAATGCTTTGAAAGCAATTTTCGAAGGTTACTGTTTCTAAGAGGGGCAAAAGTCAAGTTCTCCTCTTCCTACGCGCTACTAGCCTTGTCTCCAAAAGGCAAACTTCTCATTCTCCAAGAGCCCAGCCTCGTCCACCCAGGCCAAACTCTCCGTGCCACCTTTAGGCGGGAGGTTCGCCCTTAGCTTGAGCAGACCTGGCCTCAGGGCTACTGACCTGCACATGCACCACTGGGAAAGTGTCCCAAGCCCCGGAGACTTATCTGCCCTACTCATCCCCTCCTCGGCTATTTCCTGACAACCCTGTATGTCTCCCAGAGGTGGGCAATTACCGAGAAAGGGCCTGTGAGCCCAGCACCACAAACACAGGGAAAGTGAGGAGCCGAGAGAGGGCGCGAAGGAGGGTGGGACAACTGCCGGGCTCCGCGGAGACACCGCCGCGGACTCCTGCCACACCTCTGTCGCCTCGCCTCGCCTTAATTATCCTGGTCTGAGAAAGAACATCTGGCTACGGGGCAAGAGGGAGGCCGACTGGGAGGAAAAAGGGATTACGGGTGGCTACGTTACGCACTGTGACCCGTGTCCCCTTCCTTCCCCGTAGACTCCAGCAGCAGGTTCTGTCGCAGGGCTCCGGGCGGGCGCTACGAGCCGAGGGCGAGGGCACGCCGGAGGTGTTGGGCGTCGCCGCCAGCCCCGCTGCCAGTTTATCCAGCAAGGCGGCCACGTCGGCCATCTCCATCACATCCAGCGACAGCGAGTGCGACATCTGAGCTGTCCACCCAGCACGCTCAGAAGCAGAATCCAGTGTAAAAATGAGATAAACAACATGAAGGAAGGAGACAGAATGAGAGGCCAGCAAATCCAGCGCTGGCGGAAGCCAGGTGGCCAGGGACCCACGGACTCGAGCTCCAGTGTCCGCTCCACCGCCGGCGGGCCGGGTTCCAGTGACGCCCTTCGGCCGCCACCACGGGGCCCGAGGTGAGGCCTGACCCAGCACCAGGTTCTCTTCGCTTTGCTTTTCCCGGATGACATTGCTGCAAAGACGCCTTCGGAACCCGAACTGCACGCTGAGCGCCTGCCCCGTCTCCTGTGGGTATTTCACGTCGAAAGGACGCTGTTTATATATGTATAACTTTTGCTTTAAAGTTTTTTTTTAACAAAACATATATATGCTGTTTATTTACTTATTTAAGAGACTGCCATGGTAGGTTTCTCTGTAGCTTGGGGAACTTGCTGTTTCTAAACGGGCAAACTGGTGCCCTCTGTGGAGAAGCCAAACAATAAAACAACTTGGTGGGCAAACTTTCTTAATTAAGGGAGCTGCTATCTCAGATTTCAAAAAATCATTCTTATTTCCTTTACCAGACATGCTGGGATGGGCTCTTGTCCAGAAATTCTCACCAGAGTCTTCTCTGTATCATACCTTCTTTGATGTCTCCGGATATATTTTTTAAAACAACCACTGGTTAGGGGTATAACTGCCTGCTACATCAAACTGAATGTGTATGTATGTATGCATACATGTATGTATGTATCTGTATACATACATATATACACATCATGTTATATTTAAATATAAAAATTGGCAACATGAGCATGTCCTGTAAAGCAGTTCCCACATCCACAGCACAGGTAATTAGGGGTTGTATACATGACATCCACTTTTATGAAGTGTTCATGATTTTAGGAAAAAATTTGGAAAGTCAAACTCTGGGCTCAGATAGTGAACTCTATTTTATAAAAATGCAAAACTTTCTTATACTTGGGTTCTCTAATGAAGGGCTCTCTCCCATTCAAAGGCGGTGGTCATGCTAGGTAAGCAGAGCAGATATACATTTAGAATTAACGTTTTATTAAAAAAGACAAAAAGACAGGAGAGGTTGTAGGCAATTAGATTCACTCATCTTCCTGCTGTGGACATGAATTTTAACCAAATGAATAATTTTCAACAAGAGAAATACCAAGATTAGGAACAGTATGCAATCATGTCACACACTGAGGGTAAAACAAGGCTGCACAGAAATGACTGGCATTTTTTTAAAAATCTCATCTCCACATTAAATATGAAACAATCCATCGGGAGTTTCATTGTCCTGATAATGGCTCAATTTAAAATATAAAATACTCTTAGCATGTAATTTTTTGTCCTGTAATACACACACCACAAAAAAATACCTACCATTCTTGTACCAGTAAATGCTGTCTGAAGCTTTTTTCCTAGTGAAACAGATTGCAAATTATAAAATTTGACACTAATCTTTAAATCACTTGAACTGGACTTGCTTCCTCACCCCATTCTTTTCATTCGCTTCTCTGTCCTTAGAAGATGCGCTTTGGGTCAGAAGCCTGCCAGCATTTCTAAAGGCATAAATATTGAAGTGCAAACCCGACAAAAATAACTGAAGTCAGGAAGACAAATGACAAGATATGATTGGATGCCCAGGACATGAGTATGAGTTTATTGGGCTTTATAAATGGCTGTCATTTTTGTATAGTATCCCTTATCCAGAGAATTCCTGAAAATCAAAACACTCTTGCACAAGAGCTGTAGATGGAAGGATTGGCATTCTTCCCTTCTGTGGATCCTGAATGGCTTGCAAGATAAGAGCTCCTTCCAGACACACTCCCAGACAGTTCCTGGAATGCTAAGGAGCAGGCCAGGACTCCAGAGACAAGGAAGGACCCCAGAGTATGAAATTTAAGGAGGCACTCACTCTCAAGGTCATGCAAGTGCAAAACACCTAGGATTGAATGCCTCCTTAAATTTTGCCCTCTAGGCGCCTCTTGCCTTCACCCTAGTTCTCAATTGGCAGAGCAGTATTGCACTTCAATGAAACATCCAGAGATGTTTCAATCTTGTGTTCAGCCACTCCATCCTAGCTATGGAGGTGCCAGAAGAAACCAGTGTATGGAGAAGTTTGTTAGCTAATTTTATCTCTTAATTTGATGATTCCAGGTTCAAAAGGAAAATACTAATTAGTGGAATGATGTAAAGGAATTTGAGATTCTAAGAATTACAATGCACACCAATTCAAATTACACGTAAAAGCAGAAGGAAATATCCATTCTGCAATCTCAAGAAAACAGGGTAACACTGCTAGGAACTAAGATTTCTCTTTACAAAATTATATTTTTAAATGACACATAACTTGCTTGCAGAAAGTGAGGATAGTGAGGATTTTTCTTTCCACTTTGCAATTTACTTAAATTAACATGCTGCGTACGGATTAGATTCTAAAATAGCTATAATGTTTCAGCAACTGAAGATTTATTCCTCTAATTTCACTTTAGAATCTGAGGGAAGTGACATATGGTTTGAAAGATTTTTGTTGTTGTTTATCTGAAATCTGGCGGCACCTAATTGCCTTTGTGAAAAATCAATTCTTTGGTAACCGCATGTTGGAAATTAGTCCACGTCTTCACACTGAGATATTTTTATTTTCGTGGTGCCGGAGATGGGAAGTAGGGTCTTGCACAGGCGACCACGCTACATCCCCAACCTCGAGATTTATTTTATTTAACAGTCCAAATTTTCCCATTAAAATTTATTATAAAAGTTTTGTATTTAATATTTTCTATATCCGTTTCATCCTGGCTTAGAAAGGGTTTATAATCACAAAATCTAGGTAGTAGAAAGGTTGAAGGTTCTGAATTTGGCGTGATCCTGTCCTTCTGTGCAATTCATCTTCTGCTACAATTCCTCAAAAGCAGTTCCTCCAGCAGAGTAGAAAGCAGCATTTTCACCTTTCAACAGACCTGACGGTCGGGAGGGTCTTGCCCCACCTCAGCTCAGGCTCTTTTCACTGCTTGCAACCATTTCAACCACCTTCCCTCCCGGTTCCACCCAAACTACGATGGGCCCAGCTCCCCAAAAGCCGCAGTTCCTCCACTTTCTGGGCCCACTCGGCCTCCACCCACCGCTCCCCCTCTTTCCCATCACCGGTTTGTTTATAAAAATCTGGGAGGGAGGGAGGGAGGGGAATAGAGGCTGGGGGTGGGGGAGGACTTGCTCTTTGTTTACATTAAACAAATGACAGGCAAAGAGCTCAAGCAAAGTCTTCCTTGACCTCGTTCTCTCTCCCTAATTTTAACAAAAAGGAAAAAAAATACTGTATCCAGAGAGAATGTGAATGGGGCGGGCGGAGGAGAGCGGCGGCTTTTCGCTCTATTCAGCGGGTCCCCGGGCGCGGACGATTTCCGCTCCCATTGTGAGGCGGGGCCGGGGGGCGGCGGTGAGTGGGGGGTCCGCCGAGCGGCCCGCGGGGCTGTCAGGCGGCTCAGCGTAATCAGGGCTAATGACAGCGGCCGGGCGCTCGGCGGGACAATGCCCGGGGCCGCGGGGTTCTGCCGGCCTCAATGGCTAATAGGGTTGCCTGCGGGCTGCGCGGGGGCGGCGTCGGGAGGAGGAGGCGGCGAGGGGAGAAGGGGTCATTGTCCGCGCCCTGGCCGGGGCGCCGAGGCGCGTCCCTGTGTCGCACGGCCGCCCCCGAAGCCAGGCGCGAGGACAGGAAGGCAGCGGCGGGGAGGCCCCCCCCACTGGAGGCCTGCTGGAGGGGTGGGCGCATGGGTCCCACTGGGCCCCAACTTTGTTCCCAAGGAGAAACCCGGCCGCGGCTGACAGTCCTCGGGAAGAGATCGCGACTCAGTGGGGAGACTTAACTCCGTGTACCCACCTTTTGCGTCCAGCGCCCACGTGTATAGGCCTCGAGCCACTCCTATCGTGCCTTCAACACTCGGCGAGCTTGAGAACTCCCTCGAAGCCTGGGCGGTGGGAGGATTCACACTAGTGCGCGCCGCAGCAGCGGCGAGGGGCGCGCTCGGCCTCCGGCCTCCCTGAGCCAGAGGCTGCGGTGCGCCCCGGGCCCAGGCCAGCGCGTGCTGCGCGTGGGCCGCCAGCCCCTCGCCGACCAGCAGCCGCCACCGGCTCTGGGTGGCGCCGAGCGGGTCGCCCAGCAGGAGCCGGCGGGCAGGAAGGCCCCTCACCAGAGGCGCAGGACTTGCAGGCGCTGGGACCTCCGAGGGCTCGGCGCAGCGGGCGGAGGCTCAGAGGTCCGGGCGGGGAGGGAGAGCATGGCGCTTCGAAGCCCAAACGTGCGCGACCGCACGGTTGTGCGGGCTACTGGGAGCCCCGGCTTCGGGAAACGATGCTCCCAACTCTAACAGATGTCCCAAGGCTAGGTGCTGCCTTGCACCTGCTTGCTAGGATTTATATTTCTAAACATCCTTAGACATTCCCTGGTTTCCGTTCCCTTTTCTCCTCCTTGCCTGGAGACAAAGAGCTGTGAGGGCGACTCCAGAGCTAAGCACAAGCAGTTCTGCGCTGTTTTCGCTTGCTGGGTGGTGTGCTTGGCGGCCAGGATGCTGCTCCCTACCTGGACTGCCAACCTGTCCACCCACCAGGCCGACCTCTACTCCACCGACTCTTTCTTGAACCAATGGGTCCCCACAGAGGACTGTGTCTTTGGTAATGCTGCCACTATACCTTATCTAAAATGGCTGTTTTAGTGCTGGTAACATTTCTTTGTGTTTATTTATATGCCTGATTCCCTACCCCTTAGAATGTGAGCTCTTTAAGGGCAAGAACCTAATCGTATTCGTCTTGTATTCCCAGCGCCTAGCCTAAGCAGTAGGTGCTCAATAAATATTTAAAACTGAATGAATTAATGGATCTTCCTTGAAACCGGTCTGTGCCACAACAGTGAAGGACCTCTGCTAGATTAAAACTCATTTGAACAGCGAACACGATTAATACTGGCTGGACCCAAAGTTCACTGAAACTTCTTTCCAGCTCAGGATGTTGGCTGAGCTTGTCAGGTTCTCTGGGATGATTGGAATTGCTCTGTCCCTATAGGCATGTGGATTTTTGGGGGTTTTTTCCAGAATTCTGTGGTTTTGGGTTTGTAACATGAAAATTAGCTTATCACACTATACATTTTCCTGAACAGTAATGTCAGAGTCATTCCCTTAGGTTTCAAAAATTCTTGCCATTACACACACTAACCTCTATAAAATAGAATTCCAGATACATATACAAACATTTTATTGACATATATGTATTATATGTGTGTGTGTTATATGTATGTATATACTGGGTTTGAACTCAGGGTTTCACACTTGAAAAGTAGGAGTCACACCTCCAGTCCATTTTGTACTGGTTATTTTGCATATGAGTTTTTACTATTTGCCAGGGCTGTCCTGGAACTTCAAGCCTCCCAATCTTAGCCTCCCAGATAGCTAGGATTATGGATAGAATTCCTAATATTTTTATCTATTATGGAATGATAGAAGTTTCCACTTCTAAGATAACTGCTATGG